TTTTTTTTTTTTTTTTTTTTTTTTTTTTTTTTTTTTTTTTTTTATAAAAAAATATTTTATGAGTATTTAAGCTTTTTAAAGTACATTACGTGGTCAATAAAAATATATTAGTTAAATTAAAATAATATATAAAAGTACAAAAAAAAAATTAATACATTAATAATTAATTAATTAATTTTAGAGCCATTATGATAATAAATATAGAAGAGATTTTTTTGTTCACTCAGACAAATATTTTAAAAAATAAATTATTATTATTATTATTTTAGTTACAAACTCCAAACGACCCACCTTATATAAATCTAAATTTAATAAAAAGAAAATGTCAATTTATCTAAATTCACAAGATTTTCGATCTTTTTTTTTTTTTTTTTTTGTGAAAATGTAAAAATTATGTTATAATAGTCCATTAAAGCATAATATTGGTAAAGTTAATTAATTAAATTAATTTTACTGGTTTTTAAAATAATTTTTAAAAAATATTTTAGAAAGTTAAATTGATAATATTTTGTTTACGTTAACTTTATATTTGATTTATTTGCATAAATAAATTTGTTTATATTTGTTCATTCAGTCAATTTTATTTTATAAAATAATTACCGGAAGAAAATTGAATAAAGAAATATATTTAAAGTTATTTTTATTTTTATTTTTTATATTTATTATTTAAAAAAAAGTTGCATTGTAAATACAATTTAATATAGAGTTTTTATTATTTCGATTAAATAACCAATATATAAATCATCTCGACGAATTTTCTCAGTTCAGTTCGCGTCCACTGGCTCTGCTGCTGATCAATCATCTATCATCCAATTCTAACAATTGATCGTCAATTTCTTGATTTTCTTTCATGTTTATGGAGACGTAATCGCAGCGTCAATCGCAAACTGAGCAGTCAAAGAAGAAAGGATTCGGGAATTGCAGTCGGTTCTCAGTTCCATGGCGGCAGAATTAAACTCAAGCTTATTATTATATGGTTGTGTTTTTGTTTTCGTATTGCTTGCAGTTCCATTGGAGTCGGCAGCTCAAGCTTTCAGGAGAGATCCGGGACACCCTCACTGGCATCATGGAGCCTTCCATACCGTCCGAGATAGTGTTCGACATGATGTTCGTCGCATGCTTCATTCACGAGCTGAGGTATTTCTCTTGCTGTATATTCTTCCATACCATGATTCCGCATCCTTGATTCTGTAATTGTTTACTCGAATGAAATGCAGTGGCTATGATTAGATTATCTTTGTCGCGCTCGCTAATGCTCCCGTTTGGGATTTGAACGACGTTAGAATGATTAGGAGGAATAGAGAGTTTCAGATTTGCGCGTTATGTTCTCTCTCTCTCTTCTTTCCTCCTCAATGTTTTCGATTGAAGGCATTATTTCCTGTCGGTCAAACTCGAGTACGTACAATCTTTGGCTATCATGGAGGAATGCTGTTCATGGAATCGAGCTATGGACTCGCATTTGAATCCATTTGTCGAATTGTGGGAAGGTTGTCCTCGTTGATAGGTCTGCATTGTTGTTATCCTTTGTAAGGGAGTAGCGGTGGCCTTGATCATCTTTTGTGATCTTATGATCATGCTTCGGTAGTCTGGATTTGTTTATTTTAGTCCTTTGACATCAGCATGGATCCGACCTATACCTCTTAGTGAGTTTCGACGTGTAAGGACTTGTAATTTTTCGTTAACTTTTTATTGCTAGTTGCCTTGGTTCTTCATAACTTGTGAATTATGAAACATTATGATGCATATTACCCATTTACAAAAATAGCTAAAAAATTAGAACATGTTTGATTATGATTGACAATCTCATTTCAATGCATAGGTTCTCTACTGCTCATGTAGAAACTAATAAAAGCATTGCACAGGTTCCCTTTCAGGTTCCACTTGAAGTGAACATTATCCTTATTGGTTTAAATGGCGATGGAGCCTACCGGTACTTAGTAGATTCACACAAGCTGCAAGAGTTTCTGAGAGACTGCTTCCCGTCTCATAGGCCATCATGTCTTGAGACTGGCGAGCCCATTGACATTGAACATCATATCGTATATAATGCATTTCCTGTGAGTTTCATTTTTATTTTGTTAAGTAACTCACACTCGTACAAGACTTTGATCTATATTTATTAGACTATAGCTCCCTTTGCACTTGACTTCATGTTTTTGAACTTATAACTTCCCGAAAGTTATATCTTTATTTTGATTGATTAAATACAAGCATGCTTGGTAAGTCATACTTCAATTGTAACATATTTAATCTTTTAGGGTCTTTTCCCTATCCATTCCTAGCCCAATAATCCCAATAGTAAGGCCTTCAAACTTTAGAAATATAGAATTTATTTATCTGTTACATATATATAGCATGGTCTGCCAAAATCAGCATATGTTAGGTACCACTAGAGTGCCTTCTACGCCTAGATAGACCATGAACTAGATCAGAATCATTCTTAACGTGTCCATAAGAAGTGATCCCATTTTCTTTCATCATCTGGGTAGAGATCAAAGGTCTTGAACAACTGATGATAGAAATACTAGTTATAGTGCCTGTCATCCAAAGAGGAATCCTTCCCGTGGCTATTTTTCCACTTCCATTTTCCTCCCCTTTTCATCAAGTGGTTGTTATAGAGATAGAAATAATCATAGATAATTATGTGATGATATACTTCCAAATGGGATAAGATAATTCATACTCAAATGGAGGAGGTCTGTAACGACCCAGACCCACCGCTAGCAACTATTGTCCTCTTTAGGCTTTTCCTTTCGGGCTTCCCCTCAAAGCTTTAAAATGCGTCTGCTAGGGGAAGGTTTCCATACCCTTATAAAGGGTGTTTTGTTCTCCTCCCCAACCAATGTGGGACATCACAAGGTCATAGAGAAACTCTTTTTATTTCTTTCTTTTGAACTTAGTGAAGAACCTCATCTCCTTTGTTAAGGACAAAAAAGTGGGGATTCATTGAGAAAAATGAAAGAGATACAAGACCGTACAATAAACAACTCAACAAAAAACAAAAGGTTGAGAGGGAGTCGAAAAATATCTGTAGAACTCCAATCCAACCAAATCAAACTAGGATTATAATTACAAAAGAGCCTAACAATTGACGCCCACAAGGAGACATTAAAACTAGCCCCCTTCATAACCCCCTCACACGATTTTTCCGCCTCTCTAAACATCCTGTTATTCTCTCAAAATCTAGATTCCCCAAACAACTGCAAAAAAACTAGTTCGCCACTTCACTTTGCTTTTCTCTCAAAAGGCATAAATAAATCTGCTTGCACTCATCAATTTGAAATGATACTTTTCTTAATGAATATTGTATTTTTGTACAAAAAGCTCTTTAGTTTAGCTACTATATTTTGCACTGCTACAGGCAGGTCAGGCTGAATTGATAGCTCTTGAGAAAGCGCTGAAGGAGACCATGATTCCTGCTGGAACTGCAAGAGAGGTGCAAATAAAGCTTTGTGCTGCTATTTTCTTCTTCTTCTTCTTCTTCTTCTTCCTCTTTTTTTTTTTTTTTTTTAAATATTTTTTTATATGTAGTTTTGGGGAAGTTTGTTAACATTTATTTTTGTACACATACTTTTCCAGACTGATTTTGGAAGGGATGTTCCTTTGTTTGAGGTTGAAGCAACAGCAGTTGAACCTGTGTTTCAGAAGTTATATTCCTATATATTTGACACGGAGAATGAGGGATATGCTACTGCTGAGAGGGATAGACTAATGCCAATTGCCATATTTCTTGTCAACTTTGATAAGGTTTGGTGACTTCGTCTGCATCAAAAGTTTCAATACAAATTTTAGGTGACTTTGTCTCCTTGAGAAAGCATAAAATTTTCGATAAATTTTACATTTAATATTCTTGTCTCTGTCAGATGAAGTGCTTTTTTCTTTCTTTTTATTTTCCTCTGTTGTCTCATGGAACATCCTTTTTATTTGTTTGTGAACATCTACCGTCCTTAAAAAAAATTTCTTTCTACTGTCATCCTTTGTTGCTTTAGTTTCATTTTGTGTTTTACCGTCTCTTTAACAGGTCAGAATGGACCCCAGACATAAAGAAATTGATCTTGATAGTTTAATGCATGGGAAACTTGACCAGCTAAATGAGGAAGATATGAAAAAACAAGAAGGAGATTACATTTATCGTTATAGATATGATGGAGGAGGAGCTACTCAAGTTTGGCTGGGCTCTGGCAGGTATTGTTTGAAAGTTCCCTGATTTGGATAACTATGGTTTGTTTTTAGATATATTTGGGGAGTCTTGCTGTTTCTATGTGGTTTCATTGCAAATTGTAATAACTTAATGGTTAAATTTAATTTTATTTATGTTTTTTGAGTGGTTAAGAACTATCATTAAACACAGACAAGCCTAGTGGAAGTTACTAAGTTGTGATTGTTGATGTTATTCACATGCTTTCAGTGATTGATGTTAATAGTGGAGCCAAGTGGAGTGCTTATATACAATTTTATTTCTCAAGTGGTTGAATCCATATCATTAGACCTACTGTGATCACTGCCACTGGTATCGTAATGAAGGCTGATCACTGTGGTGGTAGGTTCAGCTAATCTTTGAGCCCGACCAGTGCAATTGTTTTTTATTTCTTTGATGATGGAATGTGCATATG